TTCCTTTTGCTCTTGTTAGGATCTAATGTGGGACTTTTTAGGTGAAACAATTTCCTGACTTTGAAACAAGAATAGCATGTTCTTTTGTGTTTCCCATTTTGAAGAGTGGTAAGAAAACTCAGTGAAACAGGAAGTCATTGAGTTTTAGATAATTGTTTCCAAATACAGGGTCATTTTTTCCCCCAAATTAATTTTCACACATTTTTAAGGGACTTTAAGACTTTAATACAGGGTAGATGTTTTAAGGACTTTAAAATAATCAAATAAAAAGTGGTTTTCTGTAATGTTTTATTCAGTGTGTCACATTTTTAATCAACAGAAGTCAAGAAGGCAGGTGAGAACATCCGCATCCTGCCTCAGCAGTGCTGCGTCAAAAACACTTTTCTCCAAAATAAATAGGATACTGACTTCTTAGAAGAAAAAAAAACTACTAGCCTACGTCTGATCCCAGATCAGTCTGGAAACGATGAGATGAACCAGAAACGACAGAGAGAAATCTGAGGACGTCTGAGGTGAAGAACGTAACGTTGTAAACCTTCAGGCTCGTCTTCAGAGATCAGAGTGAACCTTCATCCTGTGAGCGTCGTTTAAAAAATGAGACGTGAGCAGCAACAGTTTAAATACAGACGTGACAAAAGTTTCTATTTCCTGCTCTTTTCTACATGAAGACAGTCGTGCTGAACATTTTACTCCATTCTACTGGTTCTAAAGTGTTAACACTGAAACTAAGCATCAGGTTTATTTTTTCTTCTTTTACAGCTTTATGAGATGATCTCTGTCTGCGACAACGAACAAAAACGCTCCATCAGATCCGATGTGCTGAATGTAACATTCATCCTGCATCTGTGAATATGCATCAATGTTTGGATTCATTTTTCCTGCATTAAAATAAAACCAGAAACTATTTTTAATCCAGGCAGAGTGCTGAGCTCAGCAACAGTTTGCTCCAAAATAAAAAGTTTGAGGCATTTTGCAGATTTTTTGTTAAAATCTCAACCTGCAAAAATGAAAAGTGACACAGAAACAAGAATTTTAAACTAAACAATTTGCACAAAACATAAAATAGGTAATTCTAAAGAAATAAAAACCCTAAAGGAGCAATAAAATGGTGCAGATGCATGACGGCTGTTTCACAATGAGCAGCTGCAAACCATCAAAACAGCAGAAATTAAATAAATACATCAAAATTAATAGTTTTATGTCTAATTTTTAAAAATGCAAACAAAAAATTGAATTTAATTTAAACATTAAGACATGTTATGAAAATGATTAGAACAGACATTTTTATTTTTCAATAAGGTCAGGGAGAATCTAAATTTGTTTTTTGAAAATTATTGCTGTAAAAATGTGATTTCTAAGGGTAAAGTATGAATATCTGTTGATTGTCCTAACATTCAGTTATGGTCAAGAAAATCAGATTATTAATCAATAAAAAGCCTATTGCAAAATGTTCAAATAATGAGGAAGTAATCATCATTTTGAATATTTTATTTAAAGTATTTTTTGAGTTCTAAGTTTCTAAACCTTAATTAATAAACTGCAGTTTTCTGTTCTTCAGTTTAAAACTTGTATAAATGTCTGAATTATTATCAGAAGCTTCAGATTTAGATATTTATTTGCAGTTTTCTGTTTCAAAAGAGCTGGACTGAGTAAGGAATTTATAAATATTAAAAAATGCCTTTACAGCAGAAAAAAAACCAAACAGCAGTCTGCATCCTCCAACTGAAGCTTTTGTTTTTTAGACAAGCAAACTTCCAGATAAATTCAAATGTTAAATGTAAAACAGATTAGATGCAATTATGGTGATAATCTGGTGCTGCATCTCTGCCTGCAGTTCCCAAAGTGACCAGCAGGTGTCCCCAGAAAACACTATTTAGAGATTTGTGTTTTCAGAAAATTTTAGATGCTGATTTGCATTTTACAGAGAAAATACAGAAATTTAACTCATCTCATAAAGAAAAAATTTGTTCTAAATGTAAAAATCTTAAAATTTATGGTTGAGTTGTTCAGATTTCCTTAAATGTGGTACATTTAGTGGATCCAGTTCATTATGTTTCCACATAAAAAAGTCAACCGGTGCTGATATTTTAAGAGAGAATTACTTTTCAGATTCAGAAAGAAACATGTGACCATATATGATGTTTTAATTATCCTGCTAATGTAGGGATTGTACTCAATGCTGTGCCTTATTTAGGATTTGTAGAAAATGTTTGCAACTAATAAAATTAATCTATTTTTGAATGATTTACAACAAAAAAGAAAAAAAAATCAAAACATTAACCTTATCTGTGTGTTCACGAATCAATAACATATCAAATTAAATTTCAGTTTGGGCTCTGGTAAGGATGCTACCCTAGAGGCGTCTCTTCCAGGTGATTTTTAACTCTTTACCGTTTTTAAATCATCAGTTTCTGCTTGAAGACTTCATGATGGAAATCTCCATCATCTCTTTCAGGCAGACGGATCCAGACGGTTTTTACATCAGAAACACTGAAACATGTCGGAGGAATGTGCAGAGGAATGAGGTCCGGACTTTGTTCATGGTTCCTGTTTACACCTTCAGCAGGAGAGAGCCTGAGGAGCTTCCTGTTACAGCTGGGAACACTGGGATTCTGCTGTGGGAAGTGGGACTGGGCAGCGTGGAAAGGTCTCAGAGCTGCAGCTGCTAACCTGGAAATCTCTGCAGAACGTCCCTCCTTCCAGCCACAGAGGAAGATTCCTAAATCATTTCAGGCCGAATTTCTCTAAACTCTTTTAAAAAAACATATTTTAATTTTTACAGTTGTTAAAAAGCAGAATAGTTACTTTTATGACAGTAATTGCAACAAATCAGGTCCAGGCCAGAAATGTATTTTAGAGATCATATTAGATTTAAATTTGATTTTATGAGATAATATTCAGCAGAAACACGTGAATAAAATTCTGAACTTAAAGTTTTGCTGAACAAATATTAAGTCACCAGTGGTGGGCACTACAAGCTAAAGAGCTAGCTACGCTAACCCTAAAGCACTAATCATAAACATTAGTTCCACTAATGCTAGTCTGCTAAACTAACATTTAGAGGAAGCTAATGCTAATGCACTAAAGTCAATGACACAACGTAGCATAGCGCCCTCATCAGGATCACTGTTGAATAAACCTCTCACTCATGGTTTCAGTTTTATAGTTGCTGATTTTTGCGGTCAGATCCAACACAGGATATCTGCAGACTGTAAAGAGCTACAGTTCTTATTGCACACTTTCCATTTGCTCAAAAAAGTTTCAAGAAGAAAGAGGTGAGGAAAAGGAACCAATGTATAAATTATTTCAAAATAAGAGCATGTAGATAAACGTCTACATACATGAAGTTGATAAACAAAACTTCAATATAAAAGTTGAACATTATTCAATTGAACGTTTACAAAAACAGCCAAATAAATTAGGTTTAAAATTTATCCGGAAAAATTAATTTAGGGTAAGCTAAGTGCGCTAGCTCTGCTATTAGCGCATTAGCAGATTAGCGAAAGAGTGCCCACCACTGTCAGTTACTAATTTTAATATGTTTATAAGATTAAAACAAAACCCTGTGTACTGCGGCGCAGCTTGGCTCGCTGATTGCTTGAATTTCATTTTATTTTGGTCCTTGTACATTAATGAACGTATAATACTGTTATAAATATACTGGATTTAGCAAAATGCTGATTTCCATCTGTAGTCCCTCAGAGTGATGAAGCTTTTATTCACCCGATGAGCCCAAATAACGACTCTGTGGTTCTGCTGCGCAGCAGAAATCGGCCTGCAGGTGGCGATAAAGTTAAGCTACAGCAGGAATGGCGTGGCGGTGAGGCTGCATCTCAGTGGAGCTAAACCTATTCTGCGATCGCTAGCAGCGCTGGAGGTCATGAAGAGGTTTCTATATTTACTTCCCTCCAGAGGAGAGCAGTGAAGTACAGCGAACTGAGAATTCAATCTCGCTGTTTCACACCGTTTTCCGTTCACAGCTGAGAGACACAACTTGATTTGGAGCCACATGAAGATCAGCTGCTTGTTGTCAGTGCATCTGCTGCTGTTCTGTCTGAAATATCTCAGCTATTTCCTTCCTGGAACTGGAGGAGAAACGCTGCTCCTGTTCAGGTTGAGCTGCTTGCTGGGCTGCTGAGACGAACGGATGGATTGTACGGAGCAACAAAAGGCCCGACTGACCCGTTTAAAACATAAAAACAAACATAAAGCTGGACTCTAAACGCTGTTTTCACGTAGCACCATGCCATCGGTTTCCAGTTCCTAACACTGAATCATCCTGTATCACATTTCCAGGAGTTTTTTTTTTTTGTTTTGTTTTTTTTAAGACAAGGACGAACATCGCTCGCGTGACGGTGAAGAAACGAAGAAGAAGAAGAAGAAGAAGAAGAAGAAGAAGAAGAAGCAGACGGATGTGAGGAGAAAGCCGAGGTATCCGTCCGGGAGAGTCCTTCAGTCTGTCGGGGAGATTTCTGCTTGTTCATGTGAGGATTGAGGTGACAGAAGGCACGTGTAGCCAGGGCGCACTGCAAAGCTGGATCTTACTTTTGGTCTAGTTTCTACTGCAAATAATTCAGTACACTTTAAATAAGAGAAAACTAACTTAAAAATAATGTTTCAGCTAATAATATGAGCTTGCTTTAAGTCAAAAATTAATTAACATTGCAGAAAAAGTCCTAACTGGCAGATTATTTCACTTATAACAAAACATTTTTCCCATTTTATAAGTGAGATAATCTGCCAATAATCACTTTTTTCATCAGTATTAAGGAATTAAAACAAGCTCCTATGTCTTACTGATAAGTTACTTATAAGTTAGTTTTGTCTTATTTTAAATGCAATAAGATATTTGCTTTAGAAACTAGACTAAAAATGCCTGGTAAGATTTAGTGTTTTTGCAGTGTGGGGGCTTTATGAGCAGTGAACCGCCGTCCATCCAAACAGCCGACTGAGCTTTTCTCCGCGTCACAAAGAAATCTGCCCTCCAGCAGATTTTTATCTTTTTTTGTCAGAAAAGCTCAGAGCTTTCTGCTCACTAGAACATGTGAATGAATCTGGGCCTCCGGCGGTTTAAACCCGAACTGAGACGTGTTCCAGTGAGCAGGCCGGGGCCGGAGCCGGAGCCGGAGCCGGAGCCGGGGCCGCTGCAGTCGGACCCGCAGGGGGCGGGGGAGGAGTTATTGCTTTCAGCTCGTTGCCGGGGCAACTCTGCGTGCTGACGCCTCGGTTGAGGGCGTTAGCGGCGTGCGGCGCGGCCATGTCGGTGCGCGGGATGTTGACGGGGCAGGAGCGGGTGCGGGCGTGGCCCTTGTGGCCCCCCGGGTGGCACACGAGGCTTCCCACGGTGTCGACAGGCGACAGGTGGCGCTTCAGCCAGCGCTCCACCCGCTCCTCCCTGTACTTGATGGAGTACCAGGTGAGGAAGATGAAGAGGAAGCCGAGGAACTTGAGGCTGGCGGCCAGGCCGAAGTAGACGAAGCGCAGGGAGGTGACGTCGTACTCCCAGCAGGAGCCGTGAACGCCGCAGTCCTGCTGCCACAGCATGCAGGTGGTGTCGATGACGGCGCCGAAGTAGATGGGCGTCGGGATGTAGGCTGGGAGGAAGAGGAGGGAGAGGAAGATTCAGAAACGACTTTCAATTCAGAAACCAATTTTTCTTTTCAAACGGTCTACAGATTCTGTTTGACGAGACGAAAACACAGAAGCTGCGTTTAGTTGACCACATAACTGCGCAACTTGAAATTTTGAAAATAAATTCTCCTAATGGAAACACGCTAATTTCGTAAAAGTTCTCGTTTTTTTTAATAAAATGTTATGCCACCATGATGAAGTGGTTTAAAAGATGGTTTATTTCGCATGATCAACAACCAAATGTTACCACTGGTGCAAACCATGAAGAAGAAAACAGGAAGTGGTTGGATAATCATAGCATGCATGTTTTTAAAGTCTCATCAGATGGTCAAACTTATTCATGTGTGATTTTTACCTCTTACTTATTTCACAGAAATGCTACAATTGCAACACTGTTTTTTCACCATCAGAGGAATATTGACAAAGTTTTGCAAACATTTGTAAAGCAAAAGCAGCTTCTGTAAATAAAAAGATAATTTATTTAAATCTTTGTGTAACTGCCTGGCTTTTTTCTTAAATAAAAAATATCAAAGAATCATCTACAATTTAATTTTACAAAAAGATGAAGCAGACAAATTATTTTTTTAGCATTTTGAATTGATTCAGGATTTCCAGGATGAAGAATTGTTTTATTTATGTGAAGAGAAAACAGACCCGAAGTTTAACCAACAACCAAACACTGAGTTTGTTTCTGCTCACCAAGAGTCCTGAGGAGAACAAACTGCATCCCCAGGGCGAACGGCCGCTCCTGCTCTGCAACAGACCTGCAGCACAAAACACAAACACGCTCAGAAATGTAAAAATTAAGAGAAAAACAAGAAACAGCTGCAAAAACACACAATCTTACCAGTTTGTGTAAGATTGTGACACGTTATGTCACTTATTTTTCCATGTTGTATGTGAATAATTTGACAGTGAAACTAGTATTTTTTTCAATTGGTAACAAGGAATTACTGACTTAAATCAAGCTCCTGTATCTCGCTCGAGAGTTATGTGTGAGTTAGTTTTTTCTAAGCCATTTGCACGAGAAACTAGACAAAAATACTTGGCAAAATTTGTGTTTTTGCAGTTTACTGCAATATTTCACAGTCCCTTTTAAGGTGGTGGTTCCCACAATTTTTCCTTCCAAGTAACTTTCTATTAACATGGATGGAAGTTGATGTTTCTTGAAACCCAAAAGTTTTTTCGTTACGACCCCCTAGTGGCTACAAATGGTACAATGCTTCAGCATATTTCATATTTCATTGTAAAGTTCTTAGGTCAACTCTGTTGACCTAAGAACTTTAGGTCAGAAGCAGAAGAGAAAGCGAATTACCTGAGAGTGACGATGATGGCGGAGGGCTGGGCGCAGGCGGTGATGAGCGTGACGATGAAGAGGAAGATGAGGAAGGGGATGAGGGTGTTGCAGGTTCGGTCGCACTTCCCGGAAACGGCGTAGCCGTTCTCGTTCAGGTAGGTTTTGACGATGACGAGCTGCAGCTGGTTGCTGCCCTGACCGCTGGACGACGGCGTTATGACCTGGCGGCTCTGGACGCAGGCGCAGTCCGAGTAGTTCCTGATCTGAACGACACAACGACACGTCTGGAGGTTCAGATATCACGAGGAAACAAGACTGACGAGGTGTGGAGCAAGACACACAATCTGATGGTGGGAATAAATGTGGCATTCATGTTGGGTTTTAAAGATGACCTGTTATGTTTCCTTTGAATCCAAATAATCTGCTGCTGGCCACGCCCCCAAACTCAACTTTACACTCATGAAAATGG